AGGCCAGGCACGGTGGCTCACGCCTGTAATCCCAGTACTTTGGGAGGCTGAGGCAGGTGGATCATGAGGTCAGGAGACTGAGACCATCCTGGTCAACTGGACAAAACCCCGTCTTTACTAAAAAATACAAAAAAATAGCAGGGCGTGGTGGTGCGCGCCTGTAGTCTCAGCTATTCGGGAGGTTGAGGTGGGGGAATCACTTGAATCCAGGAGGTAGAGACTGCAATGAGCCGAGATCATGCCACTGCTCTCCAGCCTGGTGACAGAGACTCCGTCTCAAAAGAAAAAGTATACTAAACTGTTTTAGTATGTTGAGGTTTCCGTGAATGATAATACACACACACAAACACACACACACACAGGCACACACACAGTCCTCCTCCCCTCCCCGTCCAACTTCATCCCTCCCCAGCCAAGACCTCGTACAATGTCATCCTCCTTGTTGTAGTTGGCAATGTCCTTCCGGAGGGTCCGAATGATAATCATGCTCAGGATACCTGAAACAGATGGGGTTGAGGATGAGGAGAAGTTGGCGCTGCCAGCAAGCCTATGCTCCCTGCCCTCCTGGACATGATGTTTTACTGTGCAACAGCTGGCACGCACGGCTTGCTCCATTATGAACTGGCTATGCAGTCACCTCAAGGCCTCTTCTTGGGGGAGCTCCACTCCAGCTACCAGGGGAGGAGATCACAGAGCGTGGAGGTGGGGATGAAAGGGCTGCTGGGATGGGTAGGGGTATCCTGGGGAGAGGAGCATCCCAGCTGTTCCATGGCTTGGTCCTACCAACTTCTCAGCTCATGTGTCGAAGGGCCGCCTGTGGCTCCACCTCTGGCTATCTGCTGCTTCAGTTACGGCTCCTGGCCTCACTGTGTCCTCACTAGCATGCCTTTCTTCAAGCTATCCTTTTTGCCCAGAATGCCCCGCCCTGCCCTGACTTCTACTCATGCTTCACGGCTCACCCTGGGCATCTTCACCTCCCAGCACCCTGAACAGTACAGAGCTACTCCTGGCCCCATTTGTACTTTCCTGTTTCCCTCTCTAGGCAGCACTGTAGTGTTAAGAGCATGGGCCATATGCCCTTGAGTTCACTTAACATTTTCGGGCTTAGTTCACAGGGCTTCAGGGATTGAAATGTTTGGAAAGTGCTTAGTTCAGCAGCTGGCCCTATGGTAAATGTTTAATAAACAGTACTTAGCATTATCTGTGCTTCTCATATGATAGTGAAACCATCAGTGTCATTCTACTCCTGCCTACCACCCTCTCACCACCTGGTTTCTTGCCAAGCTTATCTCATTGCAGGACCATGATCCTCACTGGCACAGACTTTTCCCAGGTCTCTGGATGATGGCTCCTTCTCGTAAAGAAAGGTCTTCCTCAAAGAGCCTTCACACTTTCCTCAGCTATTGTGTATTTGGCCACTCTGTTGATCTGCTTCACAGAATGTATCACTATTTGGAACTCCACTACTTATTTGCCTTTTTGTTTCTCTCCCACCACTAGAATATATAGGCTCTGTGAGAGCAGAGCCTGGGTTGGGCTCGTTCACACCATATTCCTAGCATCTGGCAAAGTGCCTGGCACAGAACGAGCAACAACAACATCTTGTGAATGAATCAAGAATGTGTGCAGGCTCAGGTGTGTCTGTCCTCCATGAATGACCTCTCCAGAGTTCCAGAGCTCTCTAGAGATGAGTCTTGTTCACCTATGTACACCTGATGCTTAGCAGAGCCCTGATGTCTGTTTTTGACCTACACCTGGCCCTGAGAACACCCTGGAAGTCCCCCATACATGATGTGATGTCTCAGTCCCTCAACCCCAACTCCCATCCCTTTCCTTCAACCCACAGATCTCTCACCTGACAGGAAGAAGACAACAACAACAGAGTTAATGATAGAAAACCAGTGGATCTGGACGTCACTCATGGTTAGGTAAGTGTCCCAGCGAGAGGCCCATTTGATGTCACTTTCCTGGCAGGTGGGAGGAAGCACTTAGAGTCAGGCCTCCTGCTGGAGAACCTGACACAGACCAGAGCCCTCCTCCCCTGCCCATGAGCTCCAGCCCCTTCTCACCTCCCAGTGGACAGAGTAGGTGAAGTACAGCTGATTCTCCTTGGTGGGGTCAATTTCTTGGGGCGAGGAGTTGGTACCCTCGGGCAGAGTGCACGAACTCTTCTCATCTGCTTTGAGGTCTGAGAGAGACAGAGACTCAGTCTGTTCCTGTGGTGGCCAGTGCCACTGCCCAGGGGCTATTCCAGGGGCTGCCCTCAAGGCTGTCTGTTGCAGGGACCCAGCCTCTAGGGTCTGACTGGAGATTGGGAGCACGATGGGCAACAACGGGTTTTATTTTTTATTTTTAAACTTTATTTTTTTAGAGACAGAGTCTTGCTCTGTCACGCAGGCAATGGTACAATCATAGTTCACTGCAGCCTCAATCTCCCAGGCTCAAGGGATCCTTCTGCTTCAGCCTCCAGAGTAGCTGGGACTACAGGCGGGTGTCACCACACCCAGCTAATTTTTAGAAATTTTTTGTAGGGACAGGGTCCTGTTATGTTTCCCAGGCTGGTCTTGAACTCCTGGCCTGATGCAATCCTTCTGTCTTGGCCTCCCAAAGCACTGGGATCACAAGTGTGAGCCACCGTGTCTGGCCAACAATGGTTTTTGAAAATTATTCCCCAGAGCCCTGACTTTCCAAAGGTACTTAGGGGCTGCAGAGAGGCCTGTGCATGGGGGAAGGGAGGGGCCTGAGTTGGAGTTCCTCCCTGAGTCAGTGTTCCTTCACTCAATTCAAACATTCACCTACCATCCAGCCTGTCCCATTCAACATAAAACCTTGATCCATTCCATCATGCTTACTCATTTATTTAGTCTATTTCTAAAGTTCTGGCATTTTCGTAATAAATCATTCAGATGTTTTCTCCATTCATTTGCTCATCTGTTCATCCTGTTATGCATCTACTCATTCAACCAACAACGTATAATAAGCACCAACTATGGGCCAGGTTCTGTGTTGGGTGCTTAAGATAAAATGGTGAGCCGGGCATGGTGCCTCACGCCTGTAATCCAAGCACTTTGGGAGGCTGAGGCGGGCGCATCATGAGGTCAGGAGTTTGAGACCAGCCTGGTCAACATGATGAAACCCCGTCTCTACTAAAAATACAAAAATCAGCCAGGTGCGGTGGTGGGCGCCTGTAATCCTAGCTACTGGGGAGGCTGAGGCAGGAGAATCGCTTGAACCCTGGAGGCAGAAGTTGCAGTGAGCCGAGATCGCGCCACTGCACTCCAGTCTGGGTGACAGAGCAAGACTCCGTCTTGGGGAAAAAATGAAAAAGATAAAATAGTGAGAAAAGGAGACAGGGCCGGGCACGGTGGCTCACTCCTGTAATCCCAGCACTTTGGGAGGCCGAGGCGGGTGGATCACGAAGTCAGGAGATCGAGACCATCCCTGTTAACACGGCGAAACCCTGTCTCCACTAAAAATGCAAAAAATTAGCCAGGCGTGGCGGCAGGCGCCTGTAGTTCCAGCTACTTGGAAGGCTAAGGCAGGAGAATGGCGTGAACCCAGGAGGCGGAGCTTGCAGTGAGCCGAGATCGCGCCACTGCACTCCAGCCTGGGCGACTGAGCGAGACTCCGTCTCAAAAAAAAAGAAAAAGAAAAAAAGAAAAGGAGACAGCTAAAAGAAAAAGCTAAAAGAAAAGAAAAGGAGACTCTAAGCTCGAAGACCCAGTGGGGCAGCAGGTGGCCTGAAAACCATCACATACACAAACGTAGAACCGCACTCAGGAAGCTCCCAGCAGTAGATGCGCTACGGAGCTCTTGAAGGGCAGGATCTATGTTTGGGACTTCTGGGTCTAATTTTGTTTGAACACTAAGTTCCACAGTGAAAAAAAAAAAAAAAAAAAAAAAAGTCCAAATACCACCAACGATGTCAAAAGGCTGGGCATGCTGCTTAATTGAAAAGCACACTGTGGTGATCAAGGGCCAAGAGGTGAGGCGAAGTCGGACCGGCTCCTATGAGGCCCATCAGGACTGTGCTGGGCTCTGAAACTCCCGCACACCTGTTGACCCTGGGCAGATTTTAGTTTATGCCAATCACTCACACAGAGGGAGAGGAACGAAGAAACCTGCTGCCTATGGGCTTTGTCGGTACCCTGGCCCCTTGTTCTCAACCCACGGTGAGCTGGCTGGTTCTTGTGAAGAGGCCCAACAAAGCCCCAACTTGCTGTTTGGTCTTGGCCAAGTCAGCAGCCCCTTTTGAGGCTCTAGTTCCTCATCTGTAATCACCACGTACCTCCTGGGATTGCTGGGAAGGGGTAAACTAGTAAGGTGTCCAACCCGTGACACTGCTGCTGTCAGCTGCCCCCCCATCCACCTTCTCTAATGAGAATACCGTGATCCTACCTTGGCTGGGCCCACATGCCTCACCCGAGCCCATCGGCCAGCTCAGGAGGGAGAAGAGTGCGAAGACCCTGGGTGGAGAAGCCCAGGCCCATCCAGCCCTGCCCCTCCGGCCACACCTCCCCACTCACCCTCCAGCCTGATGCTCTGGGGAATCACCTCGAAGCGGACGACACGGTACGTGTGCTCCTGGTCCTCTTCCATGTCCTCCCGGTGGTAGTAAAGGATGAATGAGAGGTGGTTGTGCAGGTAGATCTGAAATGCACAACAGAGAGAGCACAGCAGAACATCACTTAGGGATACTCTCCAGGTATTAGGGTCCTCGCCTCGCCCAGCATGCCTGGTTGTACCAACCTTCCTAAAACACTATTCTCATCACCCCCCTACTCAGAAGCTCTTCAAGGGCTCCCTGGGGCTTATCAGACAAAAGCCCAATTCTCTCAGCCAGGCATTCAAGGCCTTCTATCCTCTGACCCTGACAGAACTGAGTGTAATCATCTAAGTCACATGAGTTCACCCAGCCTCCCCTGTGCCCACTGTCTCATGAACCAGTCCCTACCCTGCATTCACTCCAACTAGAATGCCACTCCCAACTCCACACAGCAAAAGCCGACCATCTTCCCATGACCCACCTCCTCTGTGACAACCTGAGTGTAAAAGGAGCTCCCTCTGACCTCCCCTGCCGTTAACAGCCAGTGAAAGGCAGCTGGGACTTGAGACCTAGAGCCTCCCACTGTCGGTTCTCTTCCCAGTTAGGACAGAAGCCCTTTGGCGACAGGGGCTGCCCCTCAAAAGAAATGTTTTTGTCATTTATTCCCTAACTAATATCTTTCAGTTTAGAAAGAAAGATAAGAGAATCAGGGCTATAACCATCACATTATTAGCTGAGTCTCCAGGGCTGTGCTGGGAAGTGCTCACACGGATGCGCTAATTTACCCTGCCACTGCTGCTGCATGTATTTTACAGCTAAGGAACCACAGGCTCAGGGTCACTCAGACAACTAGTAAGTGGGAGAGGCAGGATTCAAACCCAGGGAGCCTGCACGCTCTTGACCACTACTTAGCCCTCTCTCCTACATACTGATGAAGTTCCACGTTTTTTTTGATGTTGTTTTAATCTTAGGAAAATGGAACCTGACTTCCTAAGAACTGTGCCTTCACCTCCCTGTAGCATCTCCCAGGGCCTTGCCCGGAGCACTCGGACCTCTGACAGACCATCACGCCCAGGGCACCTGGAGAAACTTGCTGTGGCCGAGCCCCACCTTTTCTGTGGCCCGGGACTCGTGAGGTGTGGCTCCTGGCCCTGTGAGCACGCCAAAGACACTCTACCTTGTTGACATCTGTGAAGCCGAGCCGGTAGCCGTGTTCAAACTGCACATCTTTTTCTTTCTTCTTGTCATCGCTGTCTCGGTTGGAGTAGAGCTCCAGCCGGGTGGCCACAGGCAGGTTGTCAGCAATGCTGGAAAGCAAAGGCCCCGCTCAGTCCCTCTCAACCGCCTCTCCCGTCAGTGCCCTCCCCTGTGTGAGCCTGAGGCAGCAGGGAGTAGAGGGCGACTTACAGGTGGACGTAGTAGTCTTCTGTGATCCGCTCGGCCACAAGTCGGCTCTGCTCCACTGTCAGGGTCACTGGCTTGTTGGACTGGCTGCACAGAACTTCACACTTCTTCTCACTGTTCATGAGAACCTGGAAAGGGGTGTTGACAATCCGGTCCCCTCTCAGCACCTCTCCTGCCGTAAGAGAGACAGATCGAGCTCAGAGCTTCAGCCCTGAGGTTGCTGAGGTCAGCAGAGTCACAGAGACACAGGACTGCAGGGCAAAAATGGGCTTCCAAGGACTTCAGCAGTGCCTCAGCCTGACAGCCAGTGCCCTTCCCCATCAGTTCACACCCAACTGGCCCAGCTAACCCCCACCTGCCACCCTCCTCCTTTGGGCTCTAGTGCTACCAGACCCCTTAGCACTCATCTACCACCACATCCTTCTATGCCTCTGGGCCTCAGTTGTTTCCTTCTCCGGGAGTGCTGTTCCCTGCCCCATGCTCCTGGCCTCCCCAGGAAGCCCAGTTTTCATTTCACTCTCTCTGGGAAGCCCCTCCTAACCCCTCAGGACAAGCCCATCACTCCCTCCCCTGACTGCCCTCTGTGTGAGGGCGGCATTATGCAGTGGAGAGATGGCTCTGAGTCCCGGCTGCCTGCCTTAGCAGTCTTGGTAAGTCACTCCACCTCACTGAGCCTCAATGTCCTCATCCATAAAATGGGATAATAACAGTACCCACCTCACAGGGTTACAGTGAGAAATAAAGGAAGTCAATCCAATAAAGTAGCAGGCACAGAGTAGGCAGGCACCAAACGCTATTTTATCATCAGCACTCATTTCTATGTTAAGGATCTACTTTGTACAATGTGCTAATACAGTCGTGTTTCTGACTCCCCTAACTGACTATGAGCTCGTTACTGTTAGACTGTTTCCTATTTATCTCTGTGTCTTCAGTTCCTGGTTCCAGCAGGGAAGGGAGTGGGGTGAAACCCAGCACCTGAGATTTTTAGCCAAAACATCTTTTGACACAATGAAGTGGCACCCCTTGTGTGCCTTTCACCTCAGAGTAACCTGCTGCCAGATGTCACCCTAACAGGCACTGAGCAGTTAGGGACTATCAAGCAAACCCCATGGTGCTTTCATTCTGAGCTGTTCAACAATTGATGGACAAGATGAAGACACCTCCACATGCACTTGGTCTCGCACTTTTCCTCCAGGGTGGATCTGCTCAATAGTCACCTAGTCATCTAGTCATTCATTCATCCATGAACATGTACTGGGTACTGGCTACCTGCCAGGCCCTAAAGATACAAAGTTGAATAGACGTACTCATAGAGTGCATGGCCTAGCAGGAAGATAGACTTTGCTGAATAATCAGCAAAATGAGAATATATAACTTGCTGTAGACACAAGGGAGTGGGTCTAGGACAGCTTCCCTGAGGAAGTGGTACTTGAAAGGAAGAGAGAAGTTAACTAGGCAAAGAAATGGGGGAAGAATATTCCAGACAGCACAGCATGTGCAAAGGCCCCTTTGGGGCGGGGAGAGGCATTGAACCTGAGAGGCCTGTGTGGCTACAGTGCAGAAAGCTCAGATGAGCTGCAGAGATGGGCTAGTGCTAGACCACAGGGGCCTGTGGGACACACACAGTTTGATCTTGACCAGTTTGACCTAGAAAGCAACAAAATCCAATGAAGGTTTCTAACGGGTAGAGAAAGACGTTATCTGAGTCTGGTTCCAGAAAGATCACTCTGACTGTTTTGTGAAGAAAACAGAGGATGCAAGGAACTGGCAGTGAGCGGTGGGGTAGGGGGGGGGCGGTGGCGGCAGTGATGGCAGTCAGTCATGCATGAGCGACACTGGTGGCTGGAACAGGTGCTGGTGAGGGTGGAGAAGAGTACACAGGAGCTCCGAGGAGGTGAAATACAGGGGAAGCATTGCTGACTGTAAACAAGGCATGAGTGAGGGGTGGTGCATATTAGGAAGACTCTGAGGTTTCTACAACCAGGTTCTAGGCGGGAAAACAGGAAGAACAGCAAATTTACATTGAAGGCATTTTCAGTTTGGATATATCAAGCAGGCACTTAGATATCAAGATCTGAGGCACAGAGGAGAGGTCAGGGCACAGATGGAAGTTGGGGGTTATCGGCCCACAGATGGTAAATGGCAGGGCCGTGAGCAACACTGCTGTAGGGGCCAGCACTTTGCTGTGCAAAGTAGCAGCCCTGGCAAGCGATGCTTCGAGTGTGGAGGAGGCACACAGGAGAGGGAGAGGGTGAGGAAGGGCCTGGATGAAGGCCTCACCTCTCCACCCTGTTTTGGAAGGCTGGCAATGCAGGTGAGCCTGCAAAACCCAGGGATGGACTGGCCAGTGAAGAGCGAGGACACAGTAAGACATGTGCAGAGTCCACTGCCGAAACGGCATTTTAAAGACAACAAGCTGAGGATCAGAGACCTGCTTGTGGTGATACAAGGCGGTGGTGGTAATGCTAAACCCCTGACCTCTTTCCTCTATAACATTTCCTACTGCCCATTTTATCACCTGTCAACGAGGATCTTGCTTGAGGAGAGAAAGAGCTACAGAAAGAGCTTGGCAGACCAAGCATGGTGGAATAGCTTCTTGGTATTTAAAAATTAAGTTTAAACCAAGAAGGGGGACATAATGGTCAGGAAATGGCTCATTTCTATTTCTTTTTTTGTTTTGTTTTTGAGACAGAGTCTTGCTCTGTTGCTCAGGCTGGAGTGTAATGGCGCAATCTCGGCTCAATGCAACCTCTGCCTCCTGGGTTCAAGTGATTCTCCTGCCTTAGCCTCCCAAGTAGCTGGGATTACAGGCGTGCACCACCATGCCCAGCTAATTTTTGTATTTTTAGTAGAGATTTATGAATTTTTTTCAATTTTGTATTTTAGTACATTGGCCAGGCTGGTCTTGAACTCTTGACCTCAGGTGATCCACCTGCTTTGGCCTCCCAAAGTGCTGGGATTATAGGCATGAGGGAAATGGCTCATTTTATACACGGAAGTACCCCTTTTAACAATGAGCAGTAAGCCATGAATGTGGAGCCTCCCAGAGTCCGAGGTTCTATCCAGAACACCTGCCAAGGATCTCCATCAACGTGACACCATTAGCACAGCCCTCAGACAGCCCTATGGGCCTTTCTGGAGAAGGCAGCCTGGGACAACAGAAATAACTCTGGCTTTAGGGTAAAAAAAACCTGAGTTTAAAAAATCTCAATTTCTCCACCTATTGGCCATGTGACCCTGAATAAGTCTTTCAAACCCTTGAAGACGCTGTTCCCTCTACTATGAAATACTAAGCTTACAGAGTTACTATGAGAATCATAGAAGCTGCTGTACAGTGTGGTACTTATGGGCATGGATTCTGGAGCCAGAGTTCCTGGAGTTCTGCCACTTACTAGGCGAGTGACTTTACCTCCTTGTGCCTCACTTCGCTTATTTATAATAAGGAGAAAGTAAGAGAATCTACCCCTTATTGTGAGAATTAATAAGTTAGAGTTGTTGTGAGAATTGAATAAGTTAAGGCACAGGAATGCTTACAACAGTGCCTAGCTCATAAGATGAGCCCTCTCGGTACTAATGATGACGATGAGGATGATGATGTAAATGGCTTACAATCCAATGGTCATGCAATTAAGGATGGTCTTGCTCCACTCAGGTAAGACACTAACACTTATCAAATGCCTACTATGTGTCAGGCACCGGGCTAGAAGCTGAGAAGAGAGGGGAACGTGAGACACAATCCCTCCAGTCAAAGAGCCCTTAGGCCATGAAGGCAGGCACTACAAAGACAGAATGAGATACAATATGGCAGGATAACACTTGTATACAGAAATCTCCATTTCTATGAAGCAGGAACTTTCTCCAGCTTTAGGAAGATTTGGCAGAGGTTGAGAGAAGTTAAAGTCACCCAGGATCACACTAAGAGTGCGTAACTATAGAGCCTTGGGCTGCCAAAGGGTCCACAGCAGCTCCCAGGAGAAGGGAGGTACAGTTGTGAGGGGCCTGACATCATGAGCCTGGAGCACCAAGTGTGAGGTCAGGCTTCCCGGGGAGAGGTAAGGTGGCTGGAGGATGGCATGGTGTGGAGAGGAAAAGAGGGCAACGGCAGGCAGGCACTGGTCCACAGATGGCAAGTGGCAGGGCCACGAGCTGCACCACTGCAGTCGGTGGAGGCCAGCCCAGGCTCTGAGGCCAATCTCTGTTCAACGCTACAAGGCAAGACTTCGGCACAGCTGGTATTAGGGGAGATGGTGCTACCCAATTTTGGTTATACTGCCTCCAAGGCCTGCCTCCAACTGGTCCAGGACCCCCAATACCTGACAGTAGATAAATTTGTCAGCAAGGGGTTCCAGAAATATCTGAGCCATGGGTAGCCCTGATGGAGAAGGCAGCCCTTTCAGGTGCCCGCTCAAGAACCAGTTCTCTCCTTTCTCCTTCCTAAGGTGTAAGAAAAGAAAGTGTCTTAAGTTCCTTGAGGTCAGGGAGAGCATCTTTCCATGCTTTTATCTCTAGGACCTAACACAGTCATAGAGGAAGCACTAATAACTGTGTCATGAATAGATGCCTCTACACCTGAAATCCTGCCAAATGGAGAATTATTTAAGTGAGAATAAAATGGCTACTAGTTATGGAATATTTATGTCAGACACTGCACTGGGTGCCTCACATTATTTGACATGAGTGTTGCCAAGTTCAGCAAGAACTGTGGTGGCATCTCTGCTTGCATTCAGGGCAGAGGCACTCACTCTCCCTTTCCATTTAAAGCACAGGAGGTGATGAAGCCACCAGAGAGGAGATATCTAGAAATCAAGAAGAGGAGGTGTAAGTAGAAGCCAAATGCTCCAAGTCTGAAGACTGACTGTGGATCCAAAACAAAGATCACTTTGGCTGTTTTGTGAAGAAAACAGAGGATGCCTTTGTCCACAGTATAAACAAAGACAAGTCACTTAACCTGCAAAATGGGAATAAACACAGCAACTGTCTCCCTGGGACTGTTACGAGGTTTAAATAAGCTAACAGGTATGTAAACAATATAGACCAGTGTCTAGAATATAGCAAAGTTAACCGTTGTTATCATTATAAAAATCATGCTGGGTTCCCCCTGGGGACAAGTTGACAGCAGTGTAGGAGAAGAACTTACCCAGATTCTCTGCCTTGTAGGTTATCTTGCTGGGCTGGCAGAAGGGCAGTGAATAGTATTCATAAGGTAGCTGGGTTCGAGAGCTGGTAAGCTTCACAGCCTGATGGGAATCCAGCAGAAACCAAGATGACCAATAATCCTTCCTGGTACCCACACATCTTTAGTACACTTGGTAATATTATCTAATAGGCAAATGAATTAGCAGAAATGACAGCAGTATACTATATAATGTACTGCCCTCAATTCTGAATTATTTCACATTTCATTCAATTTAGACTACATTACAGATTTAGTTGAAAATCACAATCAAATTCAATACATTGTGAGATTCTTGAACATGCTACTATCCCTTGACACAGTAATTTCACTTTTGGGCATCTTTCCTAAGGAAATAACTCCAAATAAGGAAAAAAAGCATTTTAGGAGCAACGAAGTTCACTCCTTATTCGTAACCACAGTGATCTTCTTCCTTCAGCTCCTCGAGTCAGTCATGCTCTCTCCTGCCTCAGGCTTTGACCCACTGCTCCTTTCTGACCTACTGTGTGCTCACCTGGCTTCTCCTCATATTCAGGTCTCAGCTCTCCCCTTGCCTGTGAGGCCTTCCTTCACCAGGGTATCTAAAGGAACTCCCCAATATCCACTGGACTGTCAATCTTCAACTGTTTACTTTATAGCATGTCTGATAAAATGTTAATTAGTTTCCCTGTTTTTTTGAAAATCAGTTTCTCCCATTAGCATTTAAGATTTAAGCTCTATAAGGACAAGGACCATGTGTGCCTTGGCCACCTCTGTAACTCCAGTGCTTTAGAGCTAGGTACAAAGTAGGTACTCACTCACTAGCTTTAGAGCTAGGTACAAAGTAGGTACAAAGTAGGTACAAAGGGCTGAATGAGAGAAGAGAGGAAAAATGAAAAACAACTTCAACTCAAAGCCCCTGCAATGGGAAATTGATCAATAAACCATGATATATTCTTTCAATTAAATATGGTAAAGCCATAAAAAAATAAAGTTTAAGACAATGAAGGAGAATGTTTAGGAATGCTATAAGCACACAGAATATAGCTCTGGAAACCACAGATAAAACAGAACCCATCAAAATGTTACAAAAAATAAAATTTTAATCCAAATGTGAGTGAAGCTACCTTTACTATTTAGGAACTACTGACCATTCCTCATACACCACCTGAAAGTATAAAAGATTTTTGGAATACAGGTCTACAATCTTTTTTGGGATTTGAAATTTTCCGGATTCCCTGTAATCCCAGCATTTTGGGAGGGTGAGGCGGGCAGATCACCTGAGGTCAGGAGTTTGAGACCAGCCTGGCCAACATGGTGAAACCCCGTTTCTACTAAAAACGCAAAAATCAGTTGGGCGCGGTGGTACACACCTACATTCCCAGCTACTCAGTAGGCTAAGGCAGGATAATTGCTTGAACCCAGGAGGCAGAGGTTGCAGTGAAACGAGATCATGCCACTACACTTAAGCCTGGGCGACAGAGCAAGACTCCATCTCAAAAAAAGAAAATTTCCAGATTTTGGAAGGCAATGTGGTATACAAACCATAGCCAAGCTGGGTCTGGACAGTACCTCATATTCAATAACTATTTGTGCAGAGAAATGCAAAAATATTCATATTAAGTGGGATTAAAAAAAGTCAATAAAGAGCTTCATGTTCAGTTCTGGTCAGTTCTTGCCTCAAATGTGCTTGGAAAAACTGAGTTCCAGAGCTTTCTGGATGTGAAACTGAAGGGATTAAGGACCTCTATTAAACATTCCATGAATTGCTTGAGGAAAAATGGCCAAAAAGTCTGTTTTAACAATTTTGTGTTTCTTAGCATTCTCACTCAGGACAATGAGAAAACAATGCACGTAACAGAGAGATGTGTCCCACCTTTATGTTGCCTCCCACTCCCTCTCTTTCCACCCAAGGCGTCCACCCTCACATACTCAGCTATATGGGACCGGAAGCCAGAGCAGCCCTGGTATCTCCAGGCCACTGCTCTGCTCTGGAGGGAGCTTTTGACAGAGGTAGTGGGAAGACGGTACTGCAGTAGTTAAGAGATGGGGTCTTGGGCTGGGTGTGGTGGCTAATACCTGATAATCCCAGCACTTTGGGAGGCTGAAACATGAGAACTGTTTGAGCCCAGGAGTTCAAGACCAGCCTGTGCAACATAGTGACACCTCATCTCTACTTAAAAGAAAAAAGAAAATTAGCCAGGCATGGTGGTGCACACCTGCAGTCCCAGTTACTTGGGAGGCTGAGGCAGAAGGATCGCTTTAGCCTGGGAGGTCAAGGTTGCAGTGAGCTATGCTCATGCCACTGCACTCCAGCCTAGGCAACAGAGAAAGACCACATCTCCTCTAAATAGAGATGGGGTTTGAACTAACCCTATGTCTTCCTCAGTATGTGACCATGAACATGTTAATTTTCCTTCCCAGGCCTCAGTTTCCCCATCTGTAAAATGAATAGGAAATCTGTGTAACATATAGAATTAGCTCCTCGGGGGACATCCTGAGCTAAGCCATGCATATGCCTGGCATGTAAATAAAAGTTATTTTAATGACTGTTCCTGCAAGTTACCAGTCTAACTGCCAAGGAAAAGAGATGCTCACAATATATGAACAATATAAGCGACACTAGGAGTTATGCAGACAAAGCTGGTAACAGAGAAGAAGATGGAGCAGGTGCGAAAGGGAGGCAGAGATGCTAAAGAGGCAGGTGGAGCAAGACAAAGGCACAAAAACAGATGGACACATACACGACAGAGACAGAATACTTGAGAGCAAAAGTGAGAGTGAGAAAGAGACCGAGATGCACATATACAAAAGCATACACAGGGACAGAGACACAGAAAGAACCGGAAATGGAGAGGGGACCAAGAACCAGAGGCACAGGGAGAGGGAGAAGCAGAGTTCCAGGGTAACTGGCACTATTCCTTCTTCTCTGCAACCACAGGATGGACACGAGCAGCTCACCATGGTGCTCCAGCCACGCTGCCTAGCACAGAGGCTCCAAAAATCCAGGAACACACTTACCTTGATTTCTACAGGATCGTTCTGGTGGAAGTTGATTGGCGCGACCCCAGGCACATAGAAGGCGCTTGTTTCACACATCAGGGAGAAAAGCAGTAAAGACCATGGCAACCAATCCTGCTCAGAAGAGAGGCCAGGGTTGGATTGGGGAGAAGTGAAGAAGATCCTCTGAGGAAGATCAAGTCATACCACCTTAATGTTGCTTTAACTGACCCAGTGTCACCACCCTCTGACCCATGAAGCCTGAAGACCTCGTAAACATTGTCTCCCAAATGCCCCCAAGAGTGCCACAAGACAACAATTCTGCACTTTCAGGAGTAAGCCACAAAGTAATTAACACCTGGGCAAAAGGGAAGGCTGTCACACAGGAGCCATGTCTCCCCGCTTCTGGATCAATGTTCTTTTAACCATTTATAGTGTGTAACTCCCAGGACAGCTAGCAGGGAATAAAGCTCCAGGACATTTAATTAATTCCATTTCTCTGTATAGCAACTGGTTCACACTGTCAAAAGCTCCTATGTTACCAAGAGATGTTCCTACAAGTTTCTCCAAAACCATGCTGGCCTCCGTCACCTCCCACTCTCCTCGCTCAGCTCAGCCACACGGGCCCCCTTGTTGTCCTGACAACAAACCCTTCTGCACCCCTCAGGGCCTTCGTCTTTACTGTGCCTTCTGCTGGAATGCCCTTCCCACAGGCACCTGCATGGCACATCTCTTTTCTTTTTTTTGAGATGGAGTTTCGCTCGTTACCCAGGTTGGAGTGCAATGGCACGATCTCAGGTTACTGCAACCTCTGCCTCCCAGGTTCAAGTGATTCTCCTGCCTCAGCCTACCGAGTAGCTGGGACTTCAGGTGCCCACGACCACACCACGCTAATTTTTCTATTTTTAGATGAGACGGTGTTTTACCACATTGCCCAGGCTGGTCTTCAACTCCTGACCTCAGGTGATCTGCCCACCTCGGCCTCCCAAAGTGCTGGGATTACAAGTGTGAGCTACCACGCCCAATGGCACATCTCCTTCTTATTTCATTCAGGTCTCTCAAATATCACTTCCTCAGAGAAGCCTGCACTGACCATTCTATCTAAAAAACAACCTCAGGGCTCCCATTACCCATTTCTCTAGTCCCTTATCTATTTCTCCTCATGGACTTATCTAATTGACATGTACTATATGTATGTGTTTATTTGGGTACTGCATGTCCCTCTACCCTTGAATGCGATCTCTGTGGGAGCAGCACCATGAACAGTGCCTGGCACAGCATGGGGACTCAGGAAACGTCTGCATGCAGCATAGGCACCTGGGAATCAAAGGCAAGAAAGGCCCATTGCATCTCTTTCCCTTAATAATAGCGCTTCACCCCTGCAAGGAACTAGAAGAGCTGCCGGATTCTCTTCCTTCTGCGCAGTCTGAACAATGAACTTTTGTCTTCCACACGCCTAAATCACCAACTCAAGTCAGTTTCTGTATCTGACTGCTCTCCCTAACCTTTCACTGCTGTTGCATTTCAGATGGTTATTTCCTCCCACCTGGACATTGGCCACAGTCTCCTGATCACCTGTCTCCACAGCCCTCCCATCCATCAAGTTACACCCCGTCCAACTAACCAAGCAACCAACTAACCAACACACACACACACACACACACACACACTCAGATGACTCTCAGTGAAACTCAGTTTTCTAGGAAATCAGGATCACTGAGTGAGGGGGCTCGCCAAAAATGCAGAATGATCTGTACAGGCTTCTGAATTTGTAAAAGGTTCGGAATTCAGTACACTTTTTGCAGACACATAGCTTGGTCAGTCTTTTAAGCAATATCTTCATGGAGTTTTTCCTCCGATTTGTTGCGAACGTTTACAAGTATCTGCCAGCTGATGTTCATTAGGAAAGCCTGACCCCCATAAACACAGTGCCATAGCTAAGACAGGTGTACTGTATTTGGCAATCAGGAGGCCAGATGAATTAGGAGAGCAGGAAAATCTTTAAAAGAAATGACAAGACTAGTAGATAAATTGCCTCACGGGGCAATTTGGATAGGAAGGATAGGAAGACAGTATTTTTTCCCTCTGTCTTTTTTTTTTAAAAAAAATAACTTTTTACTTTTAAGTATATTTAGATTTGCAGAACAGTTACAGAGAGACTACAGAGGGTTCCCATCCATTCTTCACCCAGTTTCCCCTAATGCTAACATCTTGCATAACCATAAGCGAGTAAGGCTTTTTAAAAGCAACTAGCCTGAACATTTTTTGAAAAAGCAAATTGCACTAAATAATCCAAACAGCACAATTGGGTATGCCATGAAAAATAAATCTTCCTCCCACTTCAGGTCCCCATGGACAACTGCTATCACCAGTTCCTTGAAAATCTCTCTAGAGACATTCCATGCTGGTACAAAGGGGAGGGTTTCATAGTATGGGCTGGCTTGAATACAAAAACAAATCGATTTTTCTTCTTTCTCTCTGAGTAGTGATGGAAAGCCTACCAACTGCAGGCTGGGTACAGCATCTGATTTCCTCTGCATCAGGGGACCTCCTTCACCTGACTAGGCATCTGAAGATTCTGGCCCTTCCTCATTGGAACCTTTTGCCAACCCTCGTATGTCATTGGTTAGAATGCAAGTGCGTCATGTGAGAGAAATAAACCCTGCCCTCTTTTTCCCTCTAATTCCCCTCTGTTCCTGAATTCCAGTTAACCAAAATATAAAGAAGGCAAATCCTGTATTGCTGGCAAAAACAGCCACCCAAAAGTTGTTAAAAAACAAAACAAAACAAAACTCAACCTTGAATTTTTGAAAAACAATCCTCACACAAAGATACTATCAACAAACCACACATCAATTTATCTTAGAAGGATCAAGAGATGAAAAACAGCAAAGGATATTTTCGTAATATGCTAGAATCTTTGAATATAATACTTAAGTTGGCAACCAAAAGCAATTCAGAAGTTCAACTTAGAACTAATGGCTATATCCGATGACACTGTCTATTTTAGATATTAAAATGTCACCGTCTTGGTATTTTCACATGGCTATAGGGATTATAAACTGGAACACTACTGCGGGTTTATCTGGCACTCTGTATCCAAAAGTCCCCCAAAAGTACATACTCTTTGACTCTGTAATTTTGCTTCTAGGTATGTTAAGAAAAATATGTCAGGTATGCCAAAATGTATACATGAAAGGGTGTTTGCCAACAGCATTATTTAAAATAGTTCACTACTGGCCGGGCGCGGTAGCTCATGCCCATAATCCTAGCACTTTGGGAGGCCAAGTGGGGGGCAAATCACCTGAGGTCAGGAGTTCAAGACCAGCCTGGACTACATGGTGAAACCCCATCTCCACTAAAAGAATAAAAATTAGCCAGGTGTGGTGGCACATGCCTGTAATCCCAGCTACTTGGGAGGCTGAGGCAGGAGAATTGCTTGAACTGGGGAGGCAGAAGTTGCAGGGAGCTGTACTCCATCCTGGGTGATAAAGGGAGACTCCATCTCAAAAAAAAAAAAAAAAAAAGAAAAGAAAAAAATTCACTACTTACAATAGTAAAATGTCAAATGTTAGTGGAATGGGTTAAATTATTATATGTCCATTTAAATAGTCATTGAAAGACGACATGTTTCTTTTTTCTTTTTTTGAGACAGGGTCTCACTCTGTTGTCTGGGGTGGAGTGCAGTGGTGCAATCACGGTTCCTTGCAGCCTTGACCTCTTGGGCTCAAGTGTTCCTTCCACCTCAACTTCCCAAGTAGCTGGGACCACAGGCACATGACACCATGCTCTGCAATTTTTTTTATTTTTTGTAAATACGGCATCTCCCTATATTACCCAGGCTGGTCTCAAACTTCTGGGCTCAAGCAATTCTCCCGCCTCAGCCTCCCACAGTGCTGAGATATAAGTGTGAGTCACTGCACCTGGCCGATACATTTCTTGAGCAGGAATGTTCAAGCTTTAGATTTACATAGTAAAAGCAGGAGCTAGAACATTGTGTGGCAGGATTCCTTTTTTTTAAGTTATCTTTGGAAAAATATTTAGGAGGCAAAATGTCTTAGTGATGAGCTTTTTTCCTTTTTTGTGCATCTATATTTTCTAATTTTCTTAGAGGATTATATAGTATTTATGCCACTTAAATAATAAATGAGGCAAAAGAAAACATCACTGTTCTGAACACTGAGGTGAGAGTAATCCTAGCTTGGCACAGAGGAACATCCACCCACCGGCCCCAGTGTCTCTCTAGCAGCACCTCCCACCTTTTCTTTCTAAGCCTTCAGGGAGATCTAGGACTTGGGACACTGTATAAATGTGTACACACACACACACACACACACACACAATGGAATACTCTTCAGTCATAAAAAAGAGTAAAATCATGTTTTTTGCAGCAACATGGATGAAACTGGAGACCATTATCTTATGTGAAACAACTCAGAAACAATGTCAAATACTGCATGTCCTTGCTTGCAAGTGGGAGCTAAATAATGTGTACACAGGGACATACAGTGTGGAATAATAGACACTGGAGGCTCTGAAGGGTAGAGGTGGTGAGGGATGAGAAATTACTTACTGGATACAATGTACATTATTCAGGGGATGGTTACACTAAAAGCCCAGACTTCCCCACTACCCAATCTACCCACGTAACAAAGCTGCATGCACTTGGTACGCCCTAAATTTTATTTTAAAAGAGAAAAGAAATGCAGAATCTCGGGCCCTACCCTAGAACTAGTGAATCAGAACCTGCATTTCAGCAAGTTCCCTGAGTTAAAGTTTAAGCAGCACTGTTCTAGGTAAGCCTAAAGTGCAGTCAGGGTCAAAAACCACTGCTTAGATAGAAGGGTCTATCCCAGATGATACAAACCTCTCAGAAGGGATGTAGTGGTCTGTATTTCTCTTTGACTAGATTTAAAACTGCATCTTGATAACCAATACTGCGATGGCTGTCACTTGCTAGGGAAAGCACTGAGCCTGGGGTCTCAAAATAAGGCCAGGGAGTTATACCCTCCTCTCAGTTGTGCAGCACTGGGCAATCAACTTCAACTTTGCTGGGCTGTGTCCTCATTTACTAGGATGGATTCATGTGGTAGAAGTGGAGCTCAAAAAAGAACATGGATTTGAAAACATTTAAT